ATGGCCTATAGTATTAGCGAACAATGAAAGCCATATTACGATTTTATAAGATGAAAAAATTGCAAACGAAGGTTGATGTATCAAAACAAGAGTTGCGTCATCATATTTAGTAAGACTCTTAGTACGCTGGAAAGATAAGGTTGGTAGATTTTATTCCGTCCTATGTGTAAAAAGCTTAACGAGGGACATAACCCTCCAGATCACTACTTTTACCAAACGAAACGTTTTACGCTTTAAGAAAGGCCAACGTAACATTCCAAATAGGAATGTGAATATCAAGCTGGTTCAGAAATTTCACTAAGAATTTGCTGTTAAAAAATATTTGTTGGAGAGGGGGCAGGGCGCCCACACTTGCAAAGAAAACGCCATGTCGCTCATTACAAAAATCTTGTCGGCATACTTCGGATGAGGTTAACCAGCTTTGCCCGGAACCGGCTAAATGTTGCCATGGCTTGACCGGCCTCTCCCTGACCCGTGTCCATGGGGGTCATACAACCTGAAGTGACCAGCAGCCTCGAAAAAAATGAAACGAGAAGGACGAGTTGGTCTTAAAACACCTGAAACACTGGAGCATTTTACACATACATGCCCCCTCCTTTTTTGTGCAGTTTGCGATGAATCGGGTACCAATGATTCTGAGTTAATTGCTACAGCGTGGCGTTCAGTTCATATTTGATAAAAACATATAGTATTAACTTTAGAAAGCATGCGATTGATTACAATCCCCATTGTTATCTCATCCACTGCTCGTTGCATTGACCTTTTGACTCGGGATTGTAGAGGCATGATACGTATTTATTGCGGGGGGGGGGGGGGGGGGGCTTTCAAGCGTCCGTTCTGCGAGCTGCGAGAGAGCCATTTCTTGTGAGAATCCCAAGGTATAGTAGGCGCTATATTTTTCATCTTATTTTGGATATCAGTCATATATATTTTTGCCAAGACCTAGTTATAGGTTGGGGCAGATGAGGCACGCACCTGGCATGCTTCCAGATTTACTTTATAAGGTTGGAGCCAAGGGACTTTGCAGAGAGTTTTGCATTCTGCTGAAGTAAGAAAGTCACATAATCATTGCAAACAAATATGAACTAATGATAGCCTCTGATACAGAATGGCTTGAGATCGTGTTTCGCATCCCCGTTACATAACCAATTGCAAGACAGTGAGGGACCTTTCCAAAGCAGCCAATGCACAGCAGCGACCCAATTATTCAAATTCCCCAAGAAACCAATATACCGATAGTGAAGCGTTGCCATTTTGGAGCCCTGCCATGTTTCCCTGGAAGATAAATAGACCGTTAATTCATCCCATCAACACACTGGATAATAATGTAGATAATTGTATCTCTGTGGAGATTTGCGTAACTGACGTTATTTTTCCTAACTGTCAATATTCCAATAGATTATACGATTTTGAAATATTACAAGTGCCCTAGATCAGGGAGCATTTGCCGCTGTAGAATATATACATGTACATATGCATTTTGGTATACTTCGATCTCTATTGCATTATCATGCATTGAACCTTTTGAATGTCCGTTATCAAAATTTCAAAAATGGCTAGCGGAAATTAATGTAGGCGTTTTTAAATTTTTTCAGCTTTGATAAGTAAATCTCTCTGTTTTATAAATAAAATGAATAAGTATCATCTTTGTTTTAATCCAATTGTTCCCTTTGCAAATGTCCCATTCAGAACAGTAGACTAACTAGTCCGAGGGTCAAATATGGCCGACCCACTTGAATACTTCCCCACGGGATACCTATTCAGTGTCTATTAGCGGATTAGACGGCAAGTTTTTTAGTGGGTCGCCATTTTGACCCGCAGACTGGTTAGTCCACTATTCTGAATCGGCCAAGGATGACGCTATTGCTTTTGTTTCGCAACCTATCTGCTATTTTGCCAATTTTCAAAAGACATTTCGTGATACCCATGCGTATGATCTCAGTTAAGGTGCTGTATCAGGGACACCAAAACCCCAGTTACATACATTTACATGTACCTAAGTGAATACAACTCCACCAAACACAGCAACATCTTGGCAATCACCAAGCAGTATAACATGCAGTTGCGATGTACATTTAACTTGTCAACTTCTACTATTCAACTTGACGACAACATGAATTATATGTCAATCTGCAGAATCGCTGCGATTAATACATGGTCAGTCTTCCTTCCCCATCCCGAGTTGCAGAAATTACTTGTAATCCACACTATCATCACACTATCATACATATCATGATTGTCATGACAGTCTTAAAACCCTCTTCTCATACCCTGGGCTTTAGATTGGAAGCGTGTCCGCTCCTTTCCATATGCATGTACATCTATCTGCTTACATTAGAAATGTGGCACTGTTATGGAGATATGAATAGACTAGAAGATACAGAAGCTGCCTCGCTGAGTATCTTCCCCTGTTGGAAGGTTGTTTATCAACTGGCATAATATTGATATACATGTACTTTCGAATTTGTAGTTGAGAGAGAGAGATTACAAGAGAAATAGAAGATATGTTGCTTCGTCTTTGATTTATGCACTGGACACGCAGATGCCGATATTATTGTGTGGGCAGTGATCTCTGGTGCATCATGTTATTGGTTTGAGTATTCTCTTTATAAACAAATGCGGATTAAAAATAAAATGCACTTAATGCATTCTCTCTCTCTCTCTCTTTCTTACACAACAGCAGACAACAAGCAAAAATATATGACACCTTGACTATTTGCCCTTTCATATCAAATAACTCTGTATCGTCATCAGAACAAAATGTTTTCCGCGGTGACAAAAATTTGTAAAGAAAAACAACAAAGCGCGCTAACGCGGGTGGTTGAACCTTAGTCAGAAATGCCGACAACAGTAAATGCTGCAATTACATTGAATGAGTTACATATAAACTACCTGTACGGGTCGTTAGACTGATGGCGCCAAAAAAGGTAATTGTTACAATGATATTTGAAATACTAGTACATTTTGATGAGACATATATACGCTGCCTGTTAGCCTATGTTTGGGTCTTGACATTGAAAGCAATCTGCATTTACCCCTAAGTTGTCATATTTTTTGTGACAGTCGGAAATGTGGCTGATGTCAAAGAACCTCGAAGTGATGCTTCTCGTTCGTTAGATTGATATTTTAGTTTTACGTCTCATAGTTGCTTCGCAATTTATTTGGTCGAGTTGTGTGGTCGGTGATGCGTTTTAGGCGGTTTTCGAACCCTTTTATTTGTAATTTCGGAATATATATA